CCTACTATTATTGTATTACTATTATTTCTTTTATGTTTGTTATTAACTGTTTTATGTATTTAGGTGCTCCCATGTTGGTGCTTAAATATTTACAATTATTATGTCCTCATGTTGGATTGTCCCCTTTATTATTATAGTGTCCTTCTTTGTCTCTGTCACAGTCTTTGTCTTAAAGTCTATTTTGTCCGATATAAGTATTGCTACCCCAGCTTTCTGTTGATATCCATTAACATGATGTTTCACCACCCCCTCACTTTTATTTTTTAAGATTTTATTTTATTTATTTTAATTTTTAAAAAATCCTATAGCCGACATCATTCTTTTTTTTTTTAAGATTATTTATTTATTTATTCATGAGAGACACAGAGAGAGAGAGAGGCAGAGACACAGGCAGAGGGATAAGCAGGCTCCACACAGGGAGCTTCACGTGGGACTCTATCCCGGGACTCCAGGATCACACCCCTGGCTGAAGGCAGCGCCGTTGTGATCCTGGAGACCTGGGATCGTGTCCCACATCGGGCTTCTGCATGGAGCCTGCTTCTCCCTCTGCCTGTGTCTCTGCCTCTCTCTCTCTCTCTCTCTCTCTCTCTCTTTGTGTGTGTGTCTCTCACGAATGAGTAAAGAATCTGAAAAAAATAAAAAAATAAAAAAAAGATTTAGGGACGCCTAGGTAGCTCAGTGGTTGAGAGTCTGCCTTCGGCTCAGGTCATGTTCTCAGGGTCCTGGGATCAAGTCCCGCATCGGGTTCCCCGCAGAGCCTGCTTCTCCCTTTACCTATGTCTCTGCCTCTCTCTCTGTGTCTCTCATGAATAAATAAATAAACAATCTTTAAAATAAATAAATAATTTAAAAAGATTTATTTGGGGCTCCTGGGTGGTTCAGTTGGTTAAGCGTCTGCCTTCAGCTGGGGTCGTGACCTTAGGGTCCTGGGATCCAGCCCCACGTCTGCCTCCATGCTCAGCGGAGAGTCTATTTCTCCATCTCCCTCTGCCCCTCCCCAGCTCATGCTCTCTCTCTCTCTCTCTCTCTCAAATAAATAAATAAATCTTTTTTAAAAAAGATTGATTTTTGGAGAGAGAGCATACAAGCATGTGTGAGTGGGCACACTCACATGTGGGTCAAAGGGTCAGAGGGAGGGATCCCTGGGTGGCGCAGTGGTTTGGCGCCTGCCTTTGGCCCAGGGCGCGATCCTGAGACCCAGGATCGAATCCCACGTCGGGCTCCCGGAGCATGGAGCCTGCTTCTCCCTCTGCCTGTGTCTCTGCCTCTCTCTCTCTCTCTGTGACTATCATAAATAAATAAATTAAAAAAAAAAAGGGTCAGAGGGAGAGGAGAGAGAGAAGACCAAGCAGACTTCAGGCTGAGCATGTACCCTGATTCAGGGCTCAATCCCATGACCTGGAGACCAGGACCTGAGCTGAAACCAAGGGTCGGAGGCTTAACTCACTATGCCACCCAGGTGCCCCTTTAATTTCTTTTTTTTTTTAATTTTTATTTATTTATGATAGTCACACAGAATGAGAGAGAGAGGCAGAGACACAGGCAGAGGGAGAAGCAGGCTCCATGCACCGGGAGCCCGACGTGGGACTCGATCCCGGGTCTCCAGGATCGTGCCCCGGGCCAAAGGCAGGCGCTAAACCGCTGCGCCACCCAGGGATCCCAATTTCTTTTTTTTTAAGTAGTCTCTAAACTCAGCATGGAGCCCAGCATGGGGCTTGAACTCATGACCCTGAGACCAAGACCTGAGCTGAGATCAGGAGTCAAATGTTTAACCAACTGAGTCACCCAGGAACCCTTAAAGATTTTATTTTTAAATAATCTCTACACCCAATATGAGGCTTGAATTCAATTCTAAGATCAAGAGTTGCATGCTCTTCTGGCTGAGCCAGCCAGGTGCCCCTCCATCTCCTCACTTTCAATTTTTAAGTGTCTTTTGGCCTGAAATGAGTCTCTTGTAGGAAGTATACAGATAGGTCTTGTTTTTTATCCACTCTGTTACCCTAAGTCTTTTTTTCTTTTTAAGATGTTATTTATTTATTCATGAAAGAGAGAGAGAGGCAGAGACATAGGCAGAGGGAGAAGCCGGCTCCATGCAGGGAACCTGACACAGGACTCGATCCCAGGACTCCCGGGATCACGCCCTGAGCCCAAGGCAGATGCTTAATGGCTGAGCCACCCAGGCATCCATACCCTGTCTTTTAATTGGAGTGTTTAATCCATTTATATTCAAGGGAATTACTGATTGGAACACATTTATTGTTGTTTTGTTACTCATTTTATGGTCGTTTCTATAGGTTTTCTCTGATCCTTTCTTTTGCTCTCTTTCATGGTTTGTTGACTTTCTTTAATGATATACTTGGATTGCTTTCCCTTTACTCTTTGCCTATTACTGGGTTTTGATTTGTGGTTGCCATTCTGTATATAACATCTTCTGTATATAGCAGTCCATATTAAGTTGATAGTCACTTAAGTTTAAACCCATCCTTTATGGGGCAGCCCCGGTGGCACAGTGGTTTAGTGCCGCCTGCAGCCCAGGGCGTGATCCAGGAGACCCTGGATCAAATGTATTTTTAATTCCATTTATTGTGTTCTCGATCTCTGATTGGTTCTTTTTTTTTTTATGTCTGTGTTAAGGGTCTCACCGATATCTTCCACTCTTTCCTCAAGTCCAGTAAGTATCTTTATGATCATTACCTTATTTTGTGTGTGCGTGTGCATGTGTGTGTGTCTGTGTTTTGTTTTTGTATTTAAATAGGCTCCATGCACAACATGGAGCCCAAAGTGGGGCTCAAACTCATGACCCTGAGACTGAGACCTGAGCCAAAATCAAATCAGATGCCTAACCAACTGAGCCACTAAGATGCCCCTATGATCATTACTTTAAATTCTCTAACAGGAATATTGCTTAAATCCATTTCACTTAGGTCTCTTGCTGTGGTTTGGTCCTGTTCTTTCATTTGGGACATATTCCTCTACCTCTCCATTTTGTCTAGTTTTCTGTGTCTGTTTCTCTGTGTCAGGAAAGTCAGCTGCTTCTCTTACTCTTAACAGTAATAGCCTTATGAAGAAAAGGTCCTGTAGTGCCCTCTAGTACAGTGTCCTCTGCTCCCCAGGGCTCAGAGATTTAGGTAGTAAATGTGTGTTGTGTGTGCTCTGCCATTGAGTCCTGGCCTCTTTTTCCTTCAGTCTTGTTTTATGCAGAGGCTCTCCGTACCTACCTTAGGCAGTGTTTGGTCCCCCGCAGTGGTGGGGCACATTTTGACAAGGTGTGCAGTGGTCTACTTGCAAAATGAGACTTGCCCCTGCTGCCACCAGACCTGAGTTCTCACAAAAACATGTAGGTAGGAAGATGAGATGTTGACAGGGTTTGTTCTCCTGGAAGAGGGGGCATGCAGAAACAGGACTGAGGCTAGTGTGACTGGGAAAGGCAGATCCACCAAAGCATGAGGGAGCAGAGCTTGTTGTAAACAAGTTAAGTAGTAAGTAGTGAGTATTAGCTGCACTGGTTCCTGCAGGTGTCTGTTGTTTATGCCGGGGAGGGAGAGAAGGAAACAGCACCTGCTAGCTTCTTTGTTCCTAGCAGGGTCTCCCCATGATCCCTGTCTCTCCGGGTCATGCTTTGAGATTAGCAAATCACTCTTCCTCTTATCTGCCCCTGGCATTTTTCAAACTTCTGTATCTGCACAGCTGTGCTGTCTCTTTAAGTACAGGACTCCACTTCCTAATGCCCAGCTAGGCCCTACTGGAGTAGAGACTGCTGATTTTTAGAATTCCAGGCTTTAAGTCCTGCTGGCTGTAAGAACTCATGAAATTGGCCCCTCTTGCTTTCAAAAGCAGATGTATGGGAATTCATCCTCCCTATTCACGGGCTTCCTGGAGTGAAAGTCTGTTTTTCACCCTTCTCTACACCACTGGCTTCCTCCCCATTGTGGACAGCTATGGTCTGTTTTGCTTCCAAACCGTGTCTTCATCCTTCCTACCTTCTTCGATGTGGCCTCTTCTCTACCTTTAGTTGTGAGTTTGTTCTGCCAGTTTTCACATTGTTTTCTGGGTTATTCACACTAGATGCAAGTGTCATCTAGTTGTATCAGGGTGATGAAGTGAGCTTAGGGTCCTCTTACTCTTCCATCTTCCCAGCTGACCCTTGGGAAATAGTCCCTTCCCTTTTCTTGACTTCAGTTTCTTCACTTTACAATGAAGAGATTAGATACAATGATCCTTGATTCTGAACTACACCCCAGAAGGAGGCATCTGGGAATTAAACCTGGGAAGGGGCCTGCTGGTGACATCATAAAGGGAGAATTCCATGAGAAGACTCAAGATTTTCTAGAAGCCCAGTGCCACAGCTTAGGTGGGAAGCGTATGTAACTCAGGAAGAAGACTTTTGGCCCATATCTTGACCTCTCCTCATTCTAGGGTTCCCAGTATAGTCATGGATCAACACTTGTTGGTTGAAATGGCTCAAAAGGAGGCAGACACCAATAATTTGGATGTGTTATCTCACCCTTGCTCACCAATCCCACATCACAGATCAGGCCATAGTGGAGTCCACCACCATCATGAGTCTCATCATCACAGTGGGTCCCCCCATCACGGCGAGTCTCACCACCATGGTGGGTCCCCCCATCATGGCGAGTCCCACCACCTTGGTGAGTCCCACCATCTTAATGAGTCCCACCATCACAACATGTCCCATCATCATGGCACATCCCATCATTCTGGCAGGTCCCACCATCATGGCACATCCCATCATCCTGGCGGATCCCACCATCATGGCATATCTCATCATCATGGTGGGTCTCACCACCTTGGTGAATTCCAAGATTTTCATGACAATGCCTCCTCCCACCATTCCTCCTGCTCTCACCACTCCCACTACCATGGTGGGGCCCACCATTATGGTGGAACCCACCACTTCACATCCCTTGCCCTGACTCCTCATGGCACTGCTGTCTCCCATCATTCCAATGGTGAGGGCCACTTTGATGGTGAGTACCACCATGGTAGCAGAGGACATCATGATAGGCCCCACCACCATGGTGGGCCCCACCACCACAGTGAGCCCTGCCATGACAGTGGGTCTTACCACCACAGTGAGCCCTACCACCAGAGTGGGTCTTACCAATATGATGAGTCCTATCACCATGGTGGACCCCACCACCATAGGGGATCCCGCCACCATGGTGGGCTTTACCACCACGGTGAGGTTTCCCACCACAGCAGGATCCATTCCCAAGGTGAGCCTTACCACCATAAAGATTCCTATACATATGGTGGCTCTCACCATGACAGTGAGGCCTATTACAATGGTAGGCACCGACATCATGAAGCCCGCCACCATAGAGGGCCTCTTTATCATGGAGAGACCTTATCCCACCCTTCTTATGAGGGATCCTACCATGATCACATACCTCACTACTATGATGAGTACCACCAGAGCCACCGCAGTGAGCACCATGGCCACCATGGCAAGCACCACCATGGCCACCACGGCGAGCACCACCATGGCCAACACGGCGAGCACCACCATGGTCACCACGGCGAGTACCACCGTAATGTGCATCGTCAGGATTATCTCCGTGGTGATTACCGCTATGGGGAGTACCCTCATGGTAGCTCCCAAGGCTTTGGCCCACACAAGTCTCAGACTGTGGCCAGAGCCTCCCTTGGCTCTTCGCTTTCTCATTCAGTAGCCCTCCAGCCTAGCAAGCTCCAGATACAGCACTCAGCCTTCAGCCTGACTCGTTCCCTCAGTGCAGTGCACTCACATGGATCCCAAGTGTCCAACAAAGCCCACCCTCAGGATTCCTCCTCTAAAACTTCCTCAGAAAGCTGGACAGAAGAAGATGAACAATTTCAGAAGCGCAAAAGTAAGTTCCTGCCTGCTTCCCATCCCCAACTCCCACTGCCTGGATTGGCAGATTCCAATCCTGACTTGGATCCTGCACTGACCTCCCACAGATCATGAGGCATGAATCTTACCTGCATGCATATTCCATTGGCTATTCAGTCACCTGACTGTTCATCATCCAATCTCCTGGTCCTTAAATGATACATCTCTTCCGGTGACCAGCTGTTTGTTCATCCAGTCACTGCTGTGCATATATACACTCACTTCTCAAATATTTCTTCTTGTCTAATATGAGCGCCTGGGCCCTGGAAGTGCAGAGAAAACAAATCCTGCCCTCGAGGGGCTCCAAGACTGGAGGTGGTCACTTAAACAACAAATCCTAGTCCACCCTCCATACCAGGACAATTTCCACTGTCGGTTCTATTTGTCCACATTTCCCCCACTAAACTGTGAACATCTTGATAGAGATTGGGAACCAGTGTCTGAATGAGGCCTTTGTTTCAGGGCTTTGGCTATGAATGCACAACCCTCTAAGCTTGGCCCCAAGACATTCCGTAAACAGGGTAACAGTCTCACAAACAAGCATAGAGGGGTAGGTGCCTAATTGGATAGAAGTAGGGAAGGCAGCCAAAAGGAGGAGATGTTCAGCAGAATCCCAGAGGAAGAAGGAGCGTTCACCAAGAGGACAGGGTAGTGAGGAAAGTGGGGTTTTCATGTACACATTGCTACATGAGTAAAGAAAGGCCTGAAGCTGTAGAAGCATGAGCCTGAAATCTGCTTGAGCAGACCACAAATCCCAAACAGGCTGGCATCTGCCACGGAAGGGGTCAGTCAGGTCTGTGGCCCCAGGATCAGCACAGAGCTGGCATAGAGGCACTTCAGTGAGTAAATGGTAGGCACACAGGCAGGCATGAAGAGGAACCCCAACTTAATCTGGGAGGATGCCTGGTATACCCATGCTCCCTCCCACACAGACTTGACTCTCTGTCCCCCTTATAGCTGGCAGAGCTCAGCGGTCCCACAAGAAGCTGCACACCGTGGACCTCTTCTACAGGTTGTGGGAAAAATTAAGCTACCTCATTCGGGGCCTCCGGAGAATGCTTAGGAACCTGACTGAGTCCCTAGCCTTTGAAGCCTTCATCTTCCTCACTGTCTGCCTCAACACTATTATGCTTGTGGCCCAGACCTTCGCTGAAGTAGAAGTCCGGGGTGGTAAGAGCTGGGGAGCCCCTTTCACATGGAGGAGGCCAGAGATCTTGTTCCAGGCCTCTTGTGGGCCTGATCCAGTGCTGGATGATTTATGTAACTTAGCTCATTTGAGCCTTACCCCTGGGAAATAGACAACATTACCCAGTATTTTTTTTTTTAAGATTTTATTTATTTATTCACGAGAGACACACAGAGAGAGGCAAGAGACACTGGTAGAGGGAGAAGCGGGAGTTGATCCCAGGATCCCAGGATCATAATCTGAGCTGAAGGCAGATACTGAACCACTGAGCCGCCCAGGTGCCCCCAACATTGCCCAGTATTAAAGATGAGACTCAGAGATCTTGCTGAGGTCAACTAGCCAGCCAGACAGGCCCGCTGAATTGAACGATGTGCTGTTTGTGATACACCCACCAGGTGGTGCATCAACCCCAAACACGCAGCCTTGCGGGGCAGTAGGAGGGAACCCAGGTGGCCTAGAAGAGCCAGGAGACCCTGAGCAAGAGGCGGTGGAGGTGAGGGTGGAAAACCAGGCAAGGTGGCCTCTGAGGCCTTCGGCAGCAGGGTGGAAGAAAGGCCTACCACAGCGGAAATAAACTAAGCAGAGAATGCGATTGGTGCATTCTTACTCTTACCCTGCTCAGTGAATCCGATGTTCCTGAAAACACCATCAGGCAGACTGGTATTCTTATGGGACCAAAGTGGGTCTGCTGCTTGGTGAGTTCTAGACAGCCTACCCCAGGTGGAGCTGCCTCACCAGGTCATCTTTATTTGTAGAAATAAGTAGATCAACAGGAATAATTTCTAATGCTGTGACTCCCCTAGCAAGGGAAAGTAGGCTCCTTCTCCTAGGGCTTGGGATGAATACTGAGAGCGGTTTTATTTTTTATTTTTTAAATACTTTATTTATTCAGGAGAAACAGAGAGAGAGAGAGAGAGGCAAAGACACAGGCGGAGGGAGAAGCAGGCTCCATGCAGGGAGCCCGATGTGGAACTCAATCCTGGGACTCCAGGATCACACCCTGAGCCAAAGGCAGACTGGCTTAACCACTAAGTCCCAGAGAGCGGTTTTAACATTACAAAGAGGCTGAGGCACTCTGACTCTGAAGGCTGTCTTCCTCCACCGATTCTTTTTCTGTTCCTGCGGTTTTTTCTTCTCCCATTTCTAAAATGTAAGATTGACTGTTAGGCAGAAGCTGCTAGGAGTTTCCTGAGTTCAGGGAGTCAGTCCTGAGTTCAGGGGGTCAGGCCAAGTGATAGTATTATCATTGTTTTGCAGACAAGAAAACTGAGGCGCAGAGCAATTAAGATGTACAGTCCTCAGGGCAGAGCCAGGTCCTCCCTGAAAGGAACTGTGTGTGAGGTCCAGAGGGAAGGGGGAGAGAAGGGCCAGGGTTGCTGGGGATGGCCCCCAGGGAACCCCTTCTGTCTCCACAGAGTGGTACTTCATGGCCTTCGACTCTATTTTCCTCTGCATCTATGTGGTAGAAGCTGTACTCAAGATCATTGCACTGGGCCTCAAGTACTTTTCTGACTCCTGGAACAATCTGGGTGTGTGTATTTGGGGGTGGGGGCAGTTAGCCACTGGACTGCTATAGGGGGCTGAGGACAGAAGGGGACTGGCAGGCAGTGGTGGTGTCAGAGGACCACAGGTCTGAGTGAGGGCCTGTGCAGGACCCTGACGCCCAGCCCCACTGTGCCCTCAGACTTCTTCATCATGATCATGGCTATGCTGGATTTCCTGCTCTTACAGTTCAACTCCTTCACTTTCGTCTACCACCAAAGTGTCTTCCGGATCTTCAAGGTGTTCAAGAGCTTGCGGGCCCTGAGGGCCATCCGGGTCCTGCGGAGGCTCAGGTCAGGGGGGCACAGCTGCCCACTCTGGGGTGGGGATTCCACAGGACAGAGTACGCAGGCCTGGGCTTCTAGGGAACCTACTGGGACCTGTTCAGGGGAGACGGGAGCCAGGACGCTGTGGACTCCAGCCCACTTCTGATAAGCCTCCTGCCACCTGCTAGGATCAATCACTTCCAGAGAGTGCTGGACCCTCCCAAACCACTGGCAAAGCAGGGACCTTCTGTAGCTGCCAGCACAGATCCCCCACCAACCCCTCTCATTCATTCAGCTTCCCTCTCAACTTCTGCCCACAGCATCTTGACCAGCCTCCAGGAAGTGACTGGGACCCTGGCACGGTCCTTGCCGTCCATCACTGCCATCCTCATCCTCATGTTTACCTGCCTCTGTATCCTGTGCTGTGGGGGGGGGGGGAGGACAGGGGTTGGGTGGGAGCCCAAGGTGCTGTGATGGGAGGAATGGGACTCTGCGAACCTGGTTTGACCCTCAACAGCCAGTCCTCTTTTCTGTGGTGCTCCGGGCTTTGTTCCGCTTATCTGACCCGAAGCGCTTCCAGAGCATCTTCACCACCATCTTCACCCTTTTCACCTTGCTCACCCTGGATGACTGGTCCAGCATCTACCTGGACAGCCGGGCCCAGGGTGGGACAGGCCCCAGGCTGGGTGGAGGGCAGGGGCTTGGTGGGGTGGGCAGACCCCAGTGGATTGGTTACCCCATCTGCAAAGTGGGACATCTGATGTGCGCTGGCAGGGGTGTGACAGGGCAGGTGAAGAACTCACAGCTAAAACGACACCCTCTCTCCCAGGTGCCTGGTACATCATCCCCATTCTCATGATTTACATCATCATCCAATACTTCATCTTCCTCAAGTGAGGACCCCACCCCTACTTTGCTCCCTGGCTTCACCCCCACCCCCACCTAACCTTGAGGCACCCGTCCCCAGTCTTCTCCCCTTGGTCATGCCACAATGAGCCCAGAGAAGGGTGCGGGGCCTCTCCTACAGCCTCCTCCTCAGGAGTACCCCACTATCCACTCTCACCATCCCCAGCCTGGTGATTGCTGTCCTGGTGGATAACTTCCAGATGGCTCTGCTCAAAGGCCTTGAGAAAGTAAAGCAGGAGGTACTGAGGGGCGTGGGGCAGGTGGACCAGTTGGGGGAAACATGAAAGGGCGGCCACAGGGGCTGGGAGGAAGGGAGGAGGGGGCTCCAGGAAAGGGCAGACAGGAAGGGGACTCTGGCAGGACAAAGGCCTCTTCTTCCCAGAGGGCTGCCCGGATCCACGAGAAGCTGCTGGATGACTCACTGACAGAACTCAGCAAATCAGGTGCTGGCCCTCCTTCCACTGTCAGACACGGAATTCCAGGTTCAGTGGCAGAGTTTGAGAATCTGAGACTCAGGAAGACTTTCAGAGCCTAGAACTTTGGTCCAAATTTCCTTTTGACTGATTGTCAATTCTTGAAAGCCCCATTTGTGAAATGACTAATTGACCAAACGATGATTCATTCACCGAATACTCATCTCTTCTAATAACTTATAAAGGATATGGCACTTGGTTTTACATGGGATGGTTCCAGCTGCCTTTGAGGGTTTTGTCACAGTGTTACACACACTTGTCCAGAGTCACTCAGAGTGGATTGAGAGTCAAAAATCAAAGTTTTCTGCACATGTTCATTTTTACAAACCTGACTTTCTGAGTGAATTGATTTTGAGATAGTTGATTTGCTTCCTGCTTAAAGATTTCATAACCTTAGAATCTGAATTCCAAGGATCCCACTCTTAGGCTCATCAACACTAGAGGGTCTCAAGGGTCTCAAGGGGTCATTGGGTCTCAAGGGGTCACTGGGTCACTGCTTCCATCAGGGATAGACACGTAGGGCAAAAAAGCTTAAGCAAAAAGAGGAATTAATTGGCACAGTGTACTTAGCAAATTGAGGATGTGTGGGTTTTCAGGAATGGCTGGATCCAGGATTCCGTCTCTTTCCATCTCTCTGCTCTGTAGTCCTCTGCATGGCTTTGTGTTTATGGTGGCCCTTCCCTTGTGGGGGGAACTCGGCCACCTGCCACTCTAGTCCCAAATCTTCACAGGTTAGCCATCCCTATCATGCCAAGCAGACACTTCCTCTTCTTCCAGTATTTAGAGCAAAGTCCCAGAAATGAGTCTTCTTTACTTTGGTCACCTGACTATCTTGGAACCAATCACTCTGGTGGAAAGAATAGGCTGTTCTGATTGGCCAGGCCTGAGTCACATGTCCTTAGATGTGGGAGACAAGGTGGACGCAAAAGGGACAGGAGTAGTTCCTTAGGAAAAGTAGGGGACTTTTACCAGAGGGAGAGACAAATGAACAAACAAATCTGATGCGCACTCCACATCCAGAGAAGCCACCTCTCTGAGGGCATTGTGGACATAAACTCTTTTAACCCCCTCTGAATACCTCTGTGACACATTGGATTTCTTCCACCTCCTCTCAATCCAGGCATCTTCTTGACTTTCCTCCTTTTTTACACCCAGAACCTGAAGAGGTAGTGAGTGAACACACCAAACAGAAGCAGCTCATTGAGAAAAAATTTGGGACCATGACTGAGAAGTAAGGAGATGCAAAGAGAGGGGAGGCCCGGTATCTGAGGGGAGAGGTCTGGGGTCTGACCCATGGGCTGGCAGGGCAAGAGACATTGCCCACCTTTCTGGAAGGGGGGTGTGGAACGCCAAGGCCCATGTAGAGCCTATGAGTGGAATATGGAGACCGTAAGGGGCTGCTGCTCACCTTGCACTATCTTCTGCCACCAAGAGAATCCCACCAGCAGTGCCTGCAGGGCCATGAGAGCCCCTCGGAGGCCAAGGGCAAAGGGATGGCAGCAGGGAGGTCCTGGATGTACAGTGATTCTGCTCATCTGTTTACTCGAGAAACATCCCTGCCCCTTGCTCTGGGTCAGGCCCTGCAAGGACTCCCAGACACAGACTAGCCCCTGCCCACAAGAGCCCTGCCCACAAGAGCCCTGTTGTGCTGGGCCGTGAGGGTGGTGGACTTTGGCTAGGTGGAGAGGTGAGGAGGCACATCAAGGAATAGCTTGGGTAAAGGCCTGGGAGGCAGATGGTCAGCACCCATTCCTGTCAAATCAGTTGGACAGCTGGGGACTCGTGGCTGTGCTCATGGCGAGGGCACCTTGGCATAGACTCATGCTTTCTGGCTCTCAGGCCTAGCTCTGCAGAGAACCTTCCCTCTGAAAGCTGGGTCCCACTGCACTTCATCCATACTGGCTCTAAACCATCAGACAGGACAGCCCGACTATTGGTAGCCTCTAGCTCCTTCTCACCTGCTATCCTCACTCAAGCCTCAAAGGCCCTCTGTGACCCAGCCTTTGCCAACCTCCCTTGTTTCCTTGGCTACTACTTCCTGCTGTCCCCACACTGTTTCCCAAGGGCAGTCCATCCTTCTCCACCTCTGATGGAGATCTGTTGTCCACACTGTTTGTCCACACTGTTGTCTCTGCCTGGAATGTTCTCTGGGTGCCAATGCTGGGCTCAAGCAACCACCAATTGGGAGACCCGAGTTCCAATCCTACTTGCCTCACTTCCTGGCCTTCCCGCCCCCTTCCAGGTTCCAGCAACTTGCCCACTGGCCTAGTGAACCCTTGGCACTTCTGTAACATTTTCTTGGGGGTTTCCTGGCCCCCAGACTCTTCCACCTGGTCCACCTCCACAAAGGGTGCCCTCTGGTTTTGTCTGTTGGTTGGTTGTTTTATTTATTTATTTATTTATTTATTTATTTATTTATTTATTTATTTATGATAGTCATACAGAGAGAGAGAGAGAGAGAGAGGCAGAGACACAGGCAGAGGGAGAAGCAGTCTCCATGCAGGGAGCCCGACGTGGGACTCGATCCCAGGTCTCCAGGATCAGGCCCTGGGCTGAAGGTGGCACTAAACCACTGAGCCACCCAGGCTGCCCTGGAAGTCTTTTCTGATCCCCAGTACTGAATGAGGTTCTTCTCCTCAGGGACCCCCAGCACTCTGTTTATACTTATCACAAAATAAACACTCTTGGTTCACTTTCCTGGCCCTACCATAGACTGAGTTCCTTAAGGACAAGTATTGTTTCCCATTAATTTGTGTCCTTGGAGCTCCTGTCAGTGTTCATTGATTTCAGTGTCATTTGATGGATGGATTTATAAAACAGGCAGGTGATGAGGGAGTTAAGAGAGGGGTAGTTGGCTGGATGAATAGTTGGGGGGAAGCATGGTTAGGTGGATGACTGCACAACCTGATGAGGGAGTAGGTGGGTAGGTCCAGGGAAGAGCGGGTCAATGGAGGGATGTGGTGGTTTGATGAGTGAGTAGATGGCTTAGGGAGGTAGGAGGATGAAGGTGGGTGAGTGGGTGAAATAGAGAGGTGTGGGTAGTTAGAAGGGCAAACACATGGGTGGGTGGATAACTGGATAACACTACTAAGTGATGGATATAACTGGGAGGGGAAACAGCAGTTAGAACCCTATGTGGTGGGGCACCTGAGTGGCTCAGTTAGTTAGGCATCTGCCTTTGGCTCAGATCATGATCCTGAGGTCCTGGGATGGAGCCTCACATCACTGGGTTCCCTGCTCAGTGGGGAGTCTGCTTCTCCCTCTGCCCCTCCCCCTGCTCATGCTCACTCTCTCTCAAATAAATAAAATCTTAAAAAAAAAAAAAACAAAAAACCCTGTGTGGCACAGGCACAAATTGGGGCTTTTTGTTTGTGGAAAAGGAGAGATACACCATGAAAATTCCCGCTTGGGAAAGTTGCAATGGGAGGCTGGTGGGAGACAAGCAAGAAGAGCTGTCTGGGGGGCTCTGGCAGCCCAGAAGACCCTGGTAGGGAAGTCAGCTCAGGCTCCCCTCTGCCCCACTCTGCCCCTCAGGCAGCAGGAGCTCCTATTCCACTTCCTGCAGCTGGTGGCGGGGGTGGAGCATCATCAACAGAAATTCCGCTCCCAGGGATCTGTTCTTGATGAGATTGTGGACACTGCGTTTGAGGTGAGCCAGGCAGCACCAGAGGAGAGGGGCCAGAGTGGGGGGACCCCAGAGGGCCAGGCGCGGGAGGCTTGTGCCCAGAGTGCCCCGAACAGTCACATGGGCATGTGTGGGGGAAGGCGGAGGCCAGTGCCAGCTCAGTCACCCTCCCTTCCTACCCCCAGGCTGGAGAAGAAGACTTCAGGAAGTGACCCCTGGATGGAGACAGTCCTGGGATGCAGATTTCAGCCTCTGGCAAGCTGCCTACGGGATGGGGGGGAGGGGGGGAGGTAGGGGGGTGAAGGTCAGGACGAAAGTCCCCTGATCTGCTGGAATGATCTCTGGCCTGCAGGGCTGGGCCCTAACAGAATTTTAAAACCCCAAGTGGCTCTGTGTCTTCCCTGGTGAAACCAAGGCTCAGGGCAGGGGAACTGTGCACATGGATGTGTATGCACTGGTGGTGTGTGTGTATGTGTGTATACACGTGTCTACACGTGCATGTGTGTTGTGTGTGTACACATATTGAGTGTGTTGTGTGTGAAAGGCGGTCTTCTTAGTCCCCTCCAGGGCCTGCATTAGCAGCAGCCAGAGAGGTGACTCCGAAAAGGACCCAGGCTCAGTGCTGGAGGGGTGAGTGGGCAGTCACCTTGCTTTGGGGAGGAAGGCCCATCTGGCCCAGGAGTTGGGAGAAAAAGAACCAGCTAGAACAGCCCCTGGTTGTCAGAGCCTAGAGGCTCTAGAAATAGGGGCTCATAGCCCCAGAACTTGGGCCTACTAAGATCCTCAGAATCCAGTACAAGAATGCCAACTCAATGAGGATGGCATGCACTCAGAGGTCAGAGGTCATTACCATACCCTGCCCTGCCTGGGATCAGGCTAAAGAACCTCAGTGAGAGGAAGTAGGGGTGGAGGCTGCTCAAGTCCTCCTGGTCTTAGGCTGGTGGTGGGATTGCATGTGGGGCTGGAAACTTCACTGCGTGTGTGTGTGTGTGTGTGTGTGTGTGTGTGTGTGTGTGTGCGCGCGCGCGCCCTGGGGGGAAATGGATGAGCCTCTATTAGAGGACAGCAAGGAATGAGCCTAATGGTTGCTCCCCATCCTGCCTGGTCTGGGGTTTAGATGAGTCCCCCTTACTTTTAGTCTGCCCAGAGCCCCTGTCCCCATGGCTGGGGCTGGAGGTGAGGCTCTAAGCCCATGCAGGGTGCTAGAGAACTAGCACTGAGTCAGGCTCGAGCCCAGCCCTGGCCCTGGGGGCTTCCCAACCGGAGTGGAGTGTTAAACTATCTTTAGCGGCCACCTCATCTCTCGCAGAGTGAAGCCCGGGTACAGTACAGGCTGGAGGGGGTCAGGAGCAGGACTCCAGAGTAGGGGCCTGAGGGGCAACAGTTGTGCCAGGTTCCCCCTACCTCCAGGCCTGGACCAGACAGTGGTGAAGACTCCAGGCCCCAGGAGAAGAGCAGCACCTCCCTCTCAGGCCTGGGTGAGATTACCGCCTGGCCCAGGACCCGGGGAGAGACTACAGAGGAAATGGTTTCTGGAATGTGGGCACAGACTCCGGGGGTGGAGAGGCCACCTGGCAGATATCTGCAAGCCTTGCCTCACCCACCACCTCACACATTCATTCAACAAGCATTTCCTGTCACTTCCTAGTGCCAGCTCCACGCTGGAGGCTCCTGCTGGGTGGCTTGGGGTGGGGGCGAGGGGGCTTCCAAGCAGTGGCCACATTTCAGGGCCCCTGGGCTGACTGAGCTGCCACATCTGACAGGCAGGGGCAAAGCAGAGCTGATGTTTTCCCCTGAATCCCTAGCTTCTGTCAGACTCAGCCCCTTGGCTCCTCAGACTTCCTCGTGCAAGTCGCCTCTGTTCTCCACTTCCCCAACTCTATGCCAGGATGGCCTCTGAGAACAGAAGGCAGGGCCTGGGATCTGGTGCCGTTCCTCAGGAGGTCCCAGCGCTGGGCAGGGAACCGAAGGCAGGCACAGTGGCAGATGTGAGGCCTTGCCTGGAGCAGCAGAAGACAGAGGCAGTGAGCATTCTCCACACCCACAGCCACAGCAGTTCTGCTGCCTGGGCCTGGTGGGGCCCACACCTACTGCTCCCAAGGGATCCAATTACTGACTTGCCTTTTCCAGGTGTGGGTGTGTGTTTGTGCACCTGAGGCACAGCTCTGGGTGGGGCATGTGGGTCTCTGGGGCTGTGTGTGTGGAGGTCTGTATACATCTCCAGGTTGGTTGGGGAGGAGGGTGTTCCTTCTGTGTGTGTGTGTGTGTTTCTGGGTTTCTAGGCTGTGTGTGCCTGTGATTTCCTGGACATGTGTACTTTGGGAGGATCCAAGGGTGTACTGTGGTTTCTGTGTCTGTGTGTGTGTATAGTGAGAATGATTTGCAGCCATAAATTCAGTTGTGCAAAAAATGTTGCAGTTCTATTTTCTTTCAATGACATCACATTGCATCTGTCCCCTCATCGTCCTGTGGGCAGATTTGACCTTGGTCCCCTTTGGGCTTCCTGTCCAGCCCCTTCCAGGGGTCTTGGCTGGGACAAAGCACTGGGGAGTCCCTCTGGCATATGGCCCGCAGCCTGTATTGAAAGGCCTCTTGGCCTGTGGGGCTCTGCCATTGCTGGCCCCTGGACAGTAGAGGAACCTCTCAGGTTGGGAGCTCGGCGTCCTGGGGCCTGGATGGCCGAATTCAGCCTGTGCGACCCTGAGTCCTAGCAGATGAGTGAGAGCAGAGCTCAGGCCCTCCTCAGAGTAGTCACCAACTTCTGCCCCTGTCCGTTTTTTTTTTTTTTTAAGATTTTATTTATTTATTCATGAGAGACACACACAGAGAGAGGCAGAGACACAGGCAGAGGGAGAAGCAGGCTCTATGCAGGGAGCCTGACGCGGGACTCGATACCGGGTCTCCAGGATCAGGCCCTGGGCTGAAGGCTGCGCTAAACCGCTGAGCCACCCTGGCTGCCCACCCCCCCACCCCGGTTTAGTCTTGAGGCATCATCCCTCTCCTGTGGCTTTGTCTCCTACCCTTTAACTCAGAATATTCAGAGTCCTTGGAGGTTAGGTCCTCTGTGTCTATGATGCTAGGGTGTTTGGAAGACTCCATATTTGGGAACTGAAACCTCCAGCACTGTATAGGTTAAGACAATAGAAGCTCAACTGGGGGTGGTATGGACTCTCTTTTGAATGGGGAGGGGGCGCTGCCAGATGAGGCACAGGAGACAGGAGAGGGGGGTCATGGGGAGGAGTGAAGCACTCAGGAGAGTCCAATGCAAGAAGCAGTGCTAGCAATTTATTGTGACAGATATGCCCATAGGCCTGAAGTGCCTTCCCAGGATGCACCTGTTTTTCCCACATCCAAAGGGGTCTACTATATGGTCACACAGTTATGCTTTAGAAGTTGGGAGGAATTCTCCCAGGGGATCACCAGGATCTCGAAGTCACAGCGCAGCTTCTGCAGGGAGAGCAAGGAGAGGATGGTAAGTCTGGGCCCAAGGCAGGACTCCTCGCAACTGCCACCCTCAGCCTGTGACACTCTCCTCTGGGGTGTGAGAGGAACAGTCATTACTGGCCCAAAGGGACAAGGAGCCAAATGGCCAGGACTACATCCCAGATCTTTTTTTTTTTTTTTAGATTTTTTTTTTTTTTTAATTCATGAGAGAGAGAGAGAGAGGCGCAGAGACGGCAAATGGAGAAGCAGGCTCCATGCAGGGAGCCCGACGTGGTATTCAATCTTGGGTCTCCAGAATCACGCCCTGGAGTGAAGGCGGCACAAAACCGCCGAGCCATCCCGGGCTGCTCCTAGATCCCAGATCTTTCTAGCCCAGTCCAGTGAGAGAAGCCCCAATCTCTTTCTCTCTGCACCACACCCTGGCCTGGAGGTTGAGTCATCCAGAAGGCAGGGACAGGTTCCACCAGGTTCAGTCTGGCCAGACAGACCAGTTCAGGCTGGACAACCTAGGGTCTTGTTTGCTGGAAAGTGGGGTGCAGGACTATTACCTCCTCCTGTACTCCTGTGGCCAGGGGGCAGGTAGTGACATCTATGCGGTCTCCAGTGGCCATATTCTTCCGACAGGCTGTACTCCCCAACTCAACAGTCAGGTAGTACTTGACACCAGCCACCAGCTGGGGATGGAGGACAGGAGCAGGTCAGGGATTCTGGATGCCCTTGACCCGGACCTCTCACCTCTCTCCACATTCAGCACACTGGCCTGGGCCTCAGGATTCAGACCCTGGATGGGGAAGTTCTGGTGGGGATTCCTGGGAAGACAAGCAGAGGCCTGGGCCACGCAGGAAGCTGAGACCCAGGGGGGTGCAGGCATCCTGAAGCCCACTGCCCTATCTCCCTCACTCCCCTCTCCCCAATCCACCCCTCAGAGCAGGAGCACCTTGAGGCTAGCGAGCCACTGTGTAAGTCAGGGCTAGATCCTATTGAAATATAGATGTGTTGTTCATAAATTTGTGGCATTAATTGAACTTAAAAAATACATTGTATTAAAGTGTCCTGAATACTCTGGTGGCATCCCTTTAACCTGGTCACAGTGTGAATGCCGCACTGGTCTTGCCCTAGCCAGCGCCCCACCACCCCCACCCCTCGCTCCTGTCCCACGCCCCCCCTCCTCCCCCCTGCACACCTGGCTCTGCGCCTTGAGGATGTTGGTGTCTCGGAAATAGTAGAGACTGTTGCTGCCCATGTTGTAGCTGGCCACGGCCGCCTGCGCTGCCTTCTGCACCTGCGGGTCGCTGGGCGACAGGTCCACGCGTCCTCCGACCAAGTGGTTCCCGGGGCGGGCGCGGGCGTCGCGGAGCAGCGCCAGGAGGCAGAGGGCGAGCAGGCCCAGGCCCAGCGCCCGCGGAAGGCTCGGAAGCGCCATGGCCGGCAGTGCTGGGCCGGCGCGAGCTCCGCTTTTACCGGCTCGAGGCCCCGCCCGCCCCGCCCCGCGCCCCCGCGGCAGCAGCCGGGAGGGCTCTGGGGCCTGGGCGGTGTGCGAGGCCAACTTCCTCCCGCCTGGGGGCAGCGGGAGGGCCCAGCATGCCTGCCTTCCTTCCAGGGACATACCCGGTTCGGTGAGGGAAAGGACAGGGAGTCCCTGCCCAGTGCCCACCACTCAGTTCACAGGAGGCCCGACGAGTATGAAATACCAACAACTATTAGCGAGCTGTTACTATTGCCACTATTTCCTGGCCGTGGAACCTAGAAGAAATTACTTAACCGCTTGCAGCCTCAGTTTTCCTCTCTGTAAAATGGGTCGTGTGAGGACTCAACAGGTAAAGTGCTTAGAGAAGGTCTGGTCCTCTAAAAACAGCAGGAGAGGAGACTGATGTGCTGAGCCAGGTGCTGTGTGACCCTCTTGGCCAGAAATGGAAATTAGTAATGTTTCTACTTTATGAAGAAACAGGAGGCAGAGAGGAGAACTGAATTGCCCAAAGACACCAGCTAGTAAATAAATGACACTAGCTTTTGAGCCCAAATTCAAGTCTATGCTCTCAAACCAGACTGAGCCCAATGTATGAGGATGGCCAGAGAGAAGGGTGTGTGTCATAGCAGCTCTGCCATTTCCTGACTGGCGACTTAAGACAGGTCCCTTGGCCTCCCAAGGTCTCACTGTGGTGAGAGAGGTGACAACTCTTACCTGCTGAGGTTATTCCAGCACTGGGCTACCCAGAGGTGAACTGTGCATGCTGGAGGTAGCAGCAAAATAGGCACAATGAGTTTTTCAGAAAAACAGGTTTAATAAACAGCACTGAAGTAGCTAACACGAGAAGAGTCTCAATCTTGGTGGACTATGTGTTTTCGGGTTCACTGTAGCTTATACTTTTAATCACTTGTTGCTGAGGGGAGGTGGGACTTTTCTGCCCTGGGACACTGAGGCCTTGTCAGTGCTTAAGGCCTCCAAGGATCCCGCTTGGGGCTTGGAAGAGGTAGTGGTTTACAATATCTGGCAAACGTTGGTAGCTATTACAATGATGAATATTCTAAGCAGGCATAATTCTGGGCCTCTCGGAATCCCAGGACCAGGAAGGGCAGTGATTTCCTCTTTGGGAGACCTGGCCCAGCTGCTCCCCACCCCCTCAGCCCAGCTGTGAAAACCAATCTGAGATTCCAAGGAAGAGTCACAAGTTGCAGGCTCAGGTGTCTGCCTTAAAGGGACAGACCCCAGTTTGTGGGAGAGCTGGCTCAAGCTTGGCTTAATGAAGAGGCAGAAACCCAACCTTAGAGAACCTGGGAGGGGGTAGAGTAAGAAGCTCAGGACCACTATGATACATGGGGCAGAGGACGGAGAGGCAGCCTCCTGGGGCTCTCCCAGGCCTGCGTTGCCATTACTTGGAGCTCAGCCATGGCCACACTTAATCTCCAACAGCTCCCTGGAAAAGTAGCCAAGGCGAGGTCTCTGATTCACCAAGGGCCAATGGGTCCCTAGCTCACTTGCCCCCACCCTACCTGTCACTACTTCTCACTGGTGCAGGAGGGTACCGCAGGTTGTACCATACCTAATGACCTCCAAAGACCTTTCACATGGGTCTATCACAAGCACTCTTAGGGAGTAAGCCTCAATTTCGTTTTTCAGGTGAAGGAAGTTAATCAGGTCAGGTCACTTGTCTAAGGTCACACACTAGGAGTGGTTTCTTGGTGGGCCAAGGGGGACTGGGAAGGGAAATCGACAATTACTGGACTTCTGATAACATGCCAGGCCTTGAACCAGGGCCTCCACACACTCACTCATCCTCATAACTGCTCAGCAAAAGCTGTTTTACTAGAGGGAAGGAGGGCTGACTTTTTTTTTTTTTTTTTTTAAGATTTATTTATTTGGGGTTGGGGGGCTGAGAGAGAGGGAGTCTTAAGCCGACTCTGTGCTAAATGCAGGGTGAGACATGGGGCACAACGTGGGGCTTGATCTCATGACCCTGAGATCACAACCTGAGCCAAAACCAAGAGTCAGACACTTAACCAACTGTACCACGCCGTGGGGTGACATTTAAATAACCTCCTACTAACATTCTGCTGGTCGCAGGTCTGCTTTCTCCAATACTCTAAGTCTTGGTCCTTTGTCCTGGAGGCTAAGTTGGGACTGGATCTCTGAAGCCACGTTGTCACAAGGTACATTCTAGATGCCCTTTGTCTCCTGCTATTCTAGGACTGAACCAGGAACTTGTGTGGGATGCATTAAGGGACCAAGACAAGGTGTTTCAACTTAACGTGTCACAGACACTGCCTGAGACCCAAGCGAGAGGTGAGAAAGCGGGCTCCAGCCCCTTCAGGGACAAAGCCTGTGGGCGAGGCAGAGAAGAGCCCACGGGGAGGAAGCAGAACAGGCAGCACATCCCACGGGCTTCTGCTGGGTGGTTCATGCCAGAACCATGGGAGTCAAAACCTGACAACCAGCATGGGCAGGAGCCATCAGAAGGGTGTTGTGGAGGAGGAGGGAGCCTCCATTACCTCCCAGAGCATCAGCAACAATCTGGCAGTATCAGGACTGAAGTAGGGGAAGACCATGGCCCTGCCAAGCTCCTGCCTAAGCACACCAGGCCTGTATGACAGTGTCACAACACAAAGGGTCAAGGCTGAGGGGACTTTGAGGTGACCCTGGACCCATCTGGGAGAGTATCAGAAACATAGCCTGAAACTCTAGGGACAGACAGCCTGAATTCCCAGCTCAGTCTGGGAGTCAGGCCGGCACCCTCCCACTAACATAAGCTGAACACAAGCTTGTGTTAGTGGGAGTAACACAAGCTGAACCTTACTCTGGCCACCTGGCATCCTTCCAGGGTGGCTGCTCACTTTCCAGACCCAGATCTGAACTGAACCCTCATGATTTCCAAATAATCACATAATTGCTCTATTCCTGGGGCTTTACTTTTGGTTTCCTTTTAGTCTTCTACTATTCTGAGATGTAGCTAATATACAGAAAAGCACACAGAACATATGTTCAGTTAACAAATAGTCAATGCCTGTATTACCACCACACAGGTAAAGACATGGAAACTGCCACCCTCACCCCAAGCCTCCCCATTCCTCACACCTGCTTCCTTCCCGCGAAGGTAACTAATACCACTTCTTTCTACTATTGATTTTTGCAATAAGGATTTTCTTGCTTTTTCTAGTTTTACCATCTATATAGAGATTAATAAGCAAGAATCCACTTAACTTTATGTGAATGGAATCACACAATTTGACGTTTTTTTGTTGGCTCAGCATTGAAATTCACCTGTCATTTGTTCGTTGTCACTGGTATGGACAGCCATTAGAGTCGGTCCAGTTGGGGGCTGTTATAAACAAAGTCGCTGTGAACACGAATTTAGGTGCAGGTATGCAGAATGTCCTTTGAAACAGCTCCAGGAGTAGAATTGCCAGGTCACAGGATGGGTCCTATCTTCAGCTTCACTAGGAAATGCCTGTTTTCCCCAAGGGTTCAGATCAATTTCTACTCCCACCAGATAGATGTCAGACACTCTTGCTCCATTCCATCAGCACTTGGTATTGTTTGACTTTAGAATTTTTGCCAGTGAGTATATAATGGCATCTCATTTGCATTTCCGACTACTACTGTGCCTGAGCACTTTTTCACAAGCTTATTCACCATTTGGACATTCCTCTCATGGCTGCTTTACAGGCCTTTTTCTCTATTGTGTTATCTGCTTTGTCTTTATCATAGTCATGTTCTCTGGATGCAGTCTTGTGTTAAGTGTGTTGCAAATGTTCTTTCCCACCCTGGGTTTACATTGCTACTCTCTTTGTGGTATCTTTATTTTTTATCTAAGAATTTTATTTATTTGAGAGTGAGAAAGCATGAGCAAGGGGAGGGGCAGAGGAACAAGTAGGCTCCCCGCTGAGTGGGGAGCCCAATGCGGGGGCTCAATCCCAGGACCCTGCAATCATGACGAGCCAAATGCAGATGCTTAACCAGCTGAGCCACCCAGGCACCCTTCTTTGTGGTATCTTTAGGCAAACAAAGTTTCTATAAATGGAAGTGAGTTTATCAACTTTTCCTTAATTTCTCCCTACCCTGAGGTCATGAGAACCTTCTCGTAGTATCCCAATTTTTGCATTTAATACTTGTTATTCTCTCCTCACCAGACTGTAAGCCCTCTGAGGAAAATTCTGTAAGCAAGTAGTTCTCAATGATGCTCCGCAGAAGGAATGAAATGTAAGCAGGGCTAGGTGCTATACAGCTAGCATTTTATACAATCCTTACCACCTCATTTTCCAAGTGGGGAAACTGAGGCTCGGAGAGGCCAAGTGACATGACCAGGGAACAAAGGGCCCTCAGGTACATGGGTTTTGAGTTACATTTTAAGAACCAACCTGACTCCTTCCTAGCAGTAAGTCCACGGTCATATTACTCAGTCTTTCTGAGCCTCTGGTTTCCTCACCTATAAAAGAGAAAACAACTACTTATTACTGTGGGAGAAAAAAGTTTTGCAAAGATCTTAGCTGTGGACCTGGTTCGTACTAAGAGTTCAACAAAGACCAGAACAAAAACGTACCCAACTAACTCAGGCCCCTACAACTGTGATGTTTTATGTTTTTTCTGCCTCCCTAAGAGGACCAGCCAGACGACCAGAGCCCTGCCCACTTCTCCTAGAGGCCAGGAGAGTATATGACGATTGGCAGACGAACTCTAACCCACATTTGATCCACCCTCTTCCTGGTATTCCTGACTCCCACTGATTTTTCCACCAGGTGCTGCCTAGCCCAGCTGTTGACTCGGTTGGTATCTGGAATATCACAGCCCACCCAGATCCCAGGAAGGGATCAACCCACACTCTTTGCCAGATTACTAGGGAACACTCCAAGGCACCCGGCTGAGGCCCACATGGCTGCCCTCCAGAGTGGGAAGGAAGCTGCCAGTTTCGATCTGTACTGATAAAGGAGTGTGGCAGACCTGGTCAGTCCCTGGGGAAGTCCCAACCCACCTGCTTTTCAACACATGAAGCCCAGTCATGAAGGCCACTGACTTTATTGATTTAAAAAACCTTACAAGGACAGTGACTGTTCTGCCAAAAAAGGAGCCAAATAGCATAAAACAGACCAGACTAGTGGGGGTGGGGGTGAGGGAAGGGCCAGGAACTCACTCGGTAAAGCTGATAATTGTTGACATGAAACTGGCAGGGGGAAGGAGTGGGGAGATGCATGCAAGAGTGAGAATTTCAAAAAAGTTGAAATGGTGAGAGGAAGAGAACTCCCAAAGACCTTGAAGTACATCAGAAGTGAGTACAACAATAGCAATCTCTTCCTTTGTAGAGGACAGGGGAGGAGTTCCCACGCGGCTGCAAACTCGGGAGACTCCATGCTGGGGCTTGGGACTGGGGGCTATCCAGAGAGCCTCACAAGAAGGCATCGCACCACTCTCGAAGGCACCCGAAGCAGTCCCGGGACTGCTTAGCATTGGCACCACATGTGTCCTTCAGCCATTCCCGGAAGAGATCTTCATCTTTCTTTAGCACCAGAAACTGGCCAAGGACCACATAGGCCTGCAAACGGGGAAAGGGCATGCTGCTAAGTGTTCCATGGGACCAAGAAAGAACAAAGCCACTTTTGTGGCATCCAAAGCACATGAGCCTAGGAAGTGGGCAAGCTGTGGCTATCTCCTCAGGCCACCCTCAACATCTACTCTCACTTTCCTCACCCACAAAGTGAGGCCACCCTCACCCCATCCCCCAGGTGCATGCTTCCACCCACACCTTGTCAAAGCCCCTTTCCTCCAGCTTCTTGCCCAAGACTTCACCAATCCCAGCCAGGCTCCCCACTGGCTTTTCCCCCATGGGCTCCGCCACGAAGTCTCGGTGCTTTTGGGAGGTTGTCATCTTGATCAGCTTAATCTGGGAATCCCAAGAAAAGGTAAGTTAGGGATGCAAACCAGGAACTCCCAAGGGCCCAGTGACAATGTTATTTATATTAAGTGAAAGCTAATCCAGCCATTACGGCTGCTCACTCAGATCTCCTCGGTTCATGGGTAAGAGAACTGAGGTCCAAGAAGAGCCTTTTTCCCGCTAGGCAAAAGAATGGTTCTCTGTGGGAACCGGGTTCCAGCCCCAGGGGAAAAACTAGCCCGCCCTCACAGGTGGCGCACGCGGGGCAGCGGGAAGATTCCCAGTCGGTAGCCTGGGTCCTCCTTGAGGCTGTCACTCCCTCTGTGACCTTGTTGGGCTAAGAAGGGAGCAAATGAAGGGTCTCTCGGTCCCACTCGCCCGCACGCACCGCTCCCAGAGCGAGGGCACTAACCCAAAAGCGTACACCCACTCCTCCAGCCCCGCGTGTCCGCACTCCCCGCCCCCCGCCCCCTCCACGCGCCGCCGCGCCGCGCCCCGCCCCCTCCACGCGCCGCCGCGCCGCGCCCCGCCCCCTCCACGCGCCGCCGCGCCGCGCCCCGCCCCCTCCACGCGCCGCCGCGCTGCGCCCCGCCCCGCCCTCTCCCCGCACGGCAGCCGGGCCGGCTCCGAGGGCGCTTTCTCTGGCCGGCTACTCGGCTAAGGCCCCTCTCCTCCCCTCCTCCCCGCACCTTCTCCCGCGTCCAGCTCGGGCCCTGCTCCGCGGCGAACGCTCACCAGCAGCTCCGGCTCCCGTAACGGCTCCTACCGCCACCCGGCTGCTCCCACCGAGATCTCAAACTCACTAGAACTTTCTTCCACTTCCGCTTCCGGGTCGTCTGTAGAGCCGCTTTTAAAAAAAATTCCTCTGGGCACTTCTAGCCGCGTAGAGCCATAGAGAGGAAGCGCTCCCGACCTCAACGGCGCCCTTACTAGGCACCGCTTGCGGGTTGCCTCGCGGGAAGCCCAGCTGCCTTAGGTGGTCTCGCCTCTCGGGCAGCCTGTCCCGTCTCAGGGACCTGAGGCTTTGGAGAAAATTCCATTCCCCGCTGCGCGGCATCGGGAACTCAAGAACTTGACCTTGGCCGACCCGGAGGTGGGAAGAGTTAGAGAGACGGACAAGGCGGGGAGGGCGGCTGGTGAGCTTCCGAGATAGCCCCGGAAGTACGGTGTTGGGAAGGGTCCGACTCTAGAGTGCTAGTAGTCACCCGGCTCGGAGGAGTCGGAAGCGCGGGCGACCTGAGTGTGCGTCTGCCTGCCGGCGGACCCCTTTGCAGTGCCCTCGTTGGCTCAGCTACGAATTGAGTCGTGGGCGAGCCGCTCTCAGCGTCCAGTCTGGAGAACAAGGTCGTTCGGGCACCGCCCGTGGGAGACGAGGGCAGAGGGTAAGTGTCGGTCTCTGAGCGTCTTTCTTCCAGGATAGGGAAGCGGGTGGGCAGGGGACGGCAGCTAGAGGTCACACCTCGGAGTTTCCTTTGGAAACCATCAGCCTTCATGGTGCCGGTCCTCGTCTTCTCAGTACCCACGTCAGAAACCTGGCAGTGGCCGCAGACCGAGCCGGCTTACCCGACTTTTGTTAACTCGTTCCTGGAGTGGACCATCGCGCTGTGATCTCACTGTTTTTGACCGTAGTGTGTTGATAAGCTGGGCATCTGTGTTACGTGGCTGTGCTACACATAGGATGTACGAATATGTTGAGGAATATACAGTTTATCTCACACTCCTTCCTGAGAGGTTTCCGCAATAACTTCTGTAGAACCTGGTATTCGGTTTCTGTGATTTTGCCAGTGCTTGTGAGTTGTTTTTGTTTGCCATACACTGTTCTAAGTGCTCGGCTTGCATTATTTTATTCTATTAATAGTGATTGGGTTTAACTATTATTTTTTCTCTGAAGCTAGTGAAGTTGAACAGCTAGGAAAGAGCCAAGGAAGGATTTGAATCCTAGTAATTAGGTTTTATTTACTTACTTATTTTAAATATTTTTATATATTTATTCACGAGAGACAGAGAGAGAGAGAGAGAGAGAGGCAGAGGCAGAGACACAGGCAGAGGGAGAAGCAGGCTCCATGCAGGGAGCCTGACGTGGGACTCGATCCCAGGACTCCAGGATCACGCCCTGGGCCAAAGGCAGGCGCCAAACCGCTGAGCCACCCAGGGATCCCCCTAGTAATTAGGTTTTAGAGTTCATGTTCTTAACCAGGACACAGTCACTCCTTAGTAAAAAGGATCTCTCCATTTTCAGAACAATCCTGGGTTCTGAACTTGTCATCCAAGAAACTCAGGAGTTGACAGTCTCTGCGTCCCTCACCCCCCTGGGACAGGACCCAGCATGTCTCAGGCCACCAAGAGGAAGCATGTGGTGAAGGAGGTGCTGGGGGAGCACATGGTGCCCTCTGACCAGCAGCAGATTGTGAGGGTGAGTGGCATTGGGCACAAGCTGCTCTGCCTCCCCATCCCTCTACTCCTCTTGGGCCCTTGTGATGGGGGTAGGGTGTAGCACAGCTTACTGGGTATTTGAGCTGACTGATGAGGCTGATGAGTTCTTGGTCACTCTTGGACCAGGTACTCAGGACCCCAGGGAACAATCTGCATGAGGTGGAGACAGCCCAGGGGCAGCGCTTCCTGGTGAGCATGCCCTCCAAATACCGTAAGAACATCTGGATCAAGAGAGGTGAGAGAGGTAGCCCTCTAGGAGACAACTATTTCCTGAGAGCTTGGCTTTCCCCATTACAAGCTGGATCAATTATGTTTTTTCTCCTCTCTTACCTGCAGGGGACTTCCTCATTGTTGACCCTATTGAAGAGGGAGAGAAAGTGAAGGCTGAGATCTCCTTTGTGCTCTGCAAAGACCATGTACGCTCTCTACAGAAGGAAGGGCTCTGGTAGGGTAGTTCTTTTGGTCATTGGCTGCCTCATTTCTGGGGATACTGACTTCTAAGCTATGGAATTGTAGGAAGGAAAATCATAGCATCCCAGGCAGGGATAGCTGGAAACAGCTTTTTTGCTGATCCATTTTTCTGTCCTTTCTTACCCTGGCTCTTCTCTTGGCACAGGCCTGAGGCCTTTTCAGAAGTGGCTGAGAAACACAACAACAACAGGAACAGGTGAGAAACAAGCCTTATGATAAAAAATAGGGATTTAGGCTTTGGTACCTTGAGGGGAAAATAGAGACATTCTTTCTTCCTATGTAGAATCCTTGATGAGTGCTCCTAAATATGTGGATATGAGTACAGCTTGAAAGTGAGATGCCCCAGATTAAGATTGTGGCATTGCCACTTGTAAATGAATCATTTTAAGCAGGTTACTTGATCTCTTAAGCCTGGATTTCTTTGCCTGTAAAGTGGGAGCTTTGTGAGGATCAAAGGAGTTAATGCTTATAAAATTGCGTAGCATAATACTTGGTATATGGGGTGGGTCCACTGAACATTAGTTCATGGTTGTAAAATCATTTTTGTTAAATCCAGTAGTTCTAGCAAACTTTTGATATGGGCTGGGAGGTATAGTCTTTAGAGAGCTTTTTTTTTTTTTTTTTTTTTTTTTTTTTAAGAGAGCTTTTGTTGGCCATATGATCCTCCTTTTTGTGGGGTTCCTTGATTGCAGACCTATTTTTCCCAGAAGGCATTGGGTTAACCCTGTCCCTTTTCCCCCATGCAGACAGACTCAGCCAGAACTCCCTGCAGAGCCACAGTCATCAGGAGAAGAATCCAGCTCTGAAGATGATTCTGATCTCTTTGTTAACACCAACCGCAGACAATATTATGAGAGCGAGGAGGAGAGCGAAGAGGAGGAGGCAGCCTGAGTCCCTGGACCCATTTCTCCCCTTGCTCAGGGACGAGTACTTGGCTCCTCTGCGCTTGGACGTTCTCAGGGTGCTCTGCAGTTCTCTACCCCCTCCCCCTACACGGGGGACAAGGCAGGGCCCCTCTCTGAACTGATCTTCTGCTCAAGGAGAATTAAACCCCTGGTGGGTAATGACTTGTGCTGGTGTCTGAGTGGCTCTTTGGAGGGAGGAGGGACTTGTGGTGAAGTTAAAAACTGCTCCTTGATGGGTCCCCCGGGTGCAGGTCCTAAATGGGTAAGAAATGGAAATGGCTGGAACCTTTCCTAGATTCTCTCTCTCATTGAGCACTCGTAAGCACCAGGGCCTGTGCTGTGCCTTCTGGCATGTATTTAATAATAACTGGGAGCAATCCCTCCTGTATTGCATGCTTACAATTAGTACTGACTCAGCCATTGAGGAACACAGCTCTAGGACCTAGTGCCCCCTGCCTCTAAGAGACACTCAGGTTGAATTTCATAGTGCCTCGTAAGCTGCTTTTCCTGGCTTTCTAGTCACTGTGACTATAGGAGTGCCCACCTCCTTAACTGCTGTGTATGTCCTCTGATCAGTGGCTTTTCTGTGGCTACTCAGACATCACTCCCCAGCTCTCTTGCAAATTGTCATCCCTCTTTAAGCTTTTACCTCTGGCTGTGTACTCCTTCTCCATTGTTGACATTGATCTTCTAATCACCGTTCAGATTTTGAACACTTTAACTCCTGGCTTAGTCTTCCACCCCTGTTTCCACCACCATTTTCTCCACCCCATGGATGGGCCTATTCAGTCTCATTGGTGCCTACCTCATTGATCACTCCTTGCACCCCTGATGTTGATAGGAGTTGCCACTCCTCTTGAATTCAAATATCTGTAAAATCACCACCTCCTGGTTTTCGTGCTTACCTGCTCAACTCCCTTCTCTGTATCCTCAACCACAACCACCCCCTCCCCCGCCCCAACACACATTCTTACCATTATTTTCCTATCTTCACTTCCCTTCCTTGTGCAACATCGATTCCACCTACACCTTCCACTCGCTTGTCTCCCTGCTGGTTCATCTAGTAAGATCTAACCCTGGCTAACCCAGCTATTCACTTCTGTGCCTGTGTTCAAGTAAATGCTAGAGAAAACAGCCAACCTAACTCACTAGTTTTACCTTAAATTCATAATTACAAACCTCAGGTGGATGCTCAGCACTGCCTAGCAGATCTCTGGGATGTTTTACTTCAAAACTTGTATGTTGTCTACCAATTCCCCCTTCCCCTGTTATGACCACATACTTCATTATGTGTCCTCATTACCCACCCTACAAATGTGCTCATGGATTGTCCTTTAACTTCCCCCCATGTAATCCAGTGGGACTTAAAACTTTTCTCTTGTGCCCTGGAGCTTATCGTCTTGTTTAAGGACTTTATGTGAGTTTTGTTTTTTGCCATCCTCTCTACTGGATATGTTAGTGGCAGAGGTGCTATAGAATCTCCTGTCTGAAACAATCTGAAAAGCCTGTCACTGTTTCCACATCATCTCCAGCTACTGGTTCATTTATCTGTTCCTTGCTCACTTTACCTTATTTTATCTTAGTGGAGCTTTAAATATATACATGTCTATATATTTGTATGTATGTGTATATATACAAAAAATAAACTTCAGATGAGTTAAGGATATGTATGTGTGTATGTGTATCTAACTTGTCTGAAATTTATTTTTTATGGGAGGCAACTTTTTTTTTCCTAAAGGGGTAGTTATTTGTCTCTATACCATCTGTTGAATGGGTCATTCTTTACTCACAGATTTAAAGTACCTTTTTAAAATAAACTGAATTCTTGCATACATGTGGGTCTCTTTTTGAAGTTTCTCATCTGTTGATGTATGTGCACATACCACATTTTATGGCATTACTTAATCTGTCTCCCTCATCCTGGCCCACTCCTCCTTGAAAATTTCCTGTTTTTTCTTACATAACTTTAGAAGGAACTTGGCAATTTGCATTTAAAAATCCTTTTGAGATTTTCATCAGGGTTTTAAATCCCATAGCTTGATATGCAGAAAAATACTATCTTTAACAGTTTTGAATTTTCCTACCAGAAATGGGGTATGTACTTGCTTTTATAAGTTTGTCTTCATGTGGGTCCTTCACATTTCTGGTTCGATTTAGTCCTGGGAATTTTAGGGTTACTTGTTATGAGTGGGATCTTTTGAAATTACATTTCTGCCCATCACTGGCATTTAGGGAAAACTCCATCCTTGCTTACCTAGTTGAGCTAATCAAATTCTTTTGTTCTCATAGTTTTTCAGTTGATCCTCTTGACTTTCTGGGAGGTCCAAGTATGTTCTCCTAGTGGTAGCTTTATCCTTTACACTTGTTTCTTTTTAGGGGTCACAGAGGTCAGGGCCTCCAGTATAATGTTGGGTGGTACCCTCGTTTTTCTCCCAGTGGGAACTGTTCCCATAAGTCACGTAACACAATTCTTGTATTAGGTGTCTGGTAGATAACCTCCATTAGGCTAAAAATGTTTCCCTCTGTTCCCAGCTTACTGAAGGCTTTTCCCCTTTATTTAATAGCAATGATTTCGATGTCTATTGAGATAACCAAAAGACTTCGTTTTATTATTGAGCTGTTTCTCATGAACAGACTTTCTCATGCTGAGCTGTCCTTGCAATTTCATATAAGCTCCACTTAGAGTGTTTATTTCTTTAGGATTTTAATATTTATTTCTGGGCCAATTTTACTTCTTATTTTAATGATTTCCCTGTCCCAATTTGGTATAGCCCCATGCTATCCTTGTAGAATGGATTTGAAGACAGTTAATCTATTTCTTTGTTCTTAAATAATTTGTAGAACAGGAGTTTTTTGTTGTTTAAAGTTTGGTAGGCTTTATTTATAAAAACATCTGTGTTTGGTTCCTTTTTAAGGGGTAGATACTTGACTGCCTTTTTTTCTTTTTTTTAAGATTTTATTTATTCATGAGAGACAGAGAGGTAGAGACATAGGCAGAGGGAGAAGCAGGTTCCATGCAGGGAGCCCGATGTGGGACTCGATCCCAGGACTCCAGGATCATGCCCTGGGCCAAAGGCAGTCACTAAACCTCTGAGCCACCCCGGGATCCCCCAGGGACAACCTTTTGATAAAACCAACAGACATTTGTCCTTTATTCTGTGTATTTTCTTTGACTAATTTTGCAAGATGTTTCTCTACATTATTGGATGTATTGGATGTTTCCTTCTACTTCTTTGCTCATTTCTACCTTATTGAGCCATATGCTTAATTTCAGTCTTGTTTTCTAACATTTTTATGGCTACAAGTTTTCCTCTAAGTACTCCTTTGACTGTTACCCACTTGGTCATGTGATTGTGTGATTTTTTTTTTTTTTTGGCACTGTATCTGTAAGCCTGGCCTTAGATTTTTCTTTAGCCCTCAGTGATTGTGTGATTTACCTAATAGCCCCTGTTTTCCCCCTAAAACCTTTTCATCTCCACTTCTCCATCTCTCTCTCTCTCTCTCTTTTAAAGATTTTATTTACGGGCAGCCCCGGTGGCTCAGCGGTTTAGTGCCACCTTCAGCCCAGGCCTGATCCTGGAGACCCGGGATTGAGTCCCACGTCGGGTTCCCTGCATGGGGGCTGCTTCTCCCTCTGCCTGTGTCTCTGCCTCTCTCTCTCTCTCTCTGTGTGTGTGTGTGTGTCTCTCATGAATAAATAAAATCCTTTATAAAATATTATAATAATAAATATAATAAATAAATAAAGATTTTATTTATTCATGAGAGACAGAGAGAGGCAGAGACCTAGGTAGAGGGAGAAACAGGCTCCCCAGGGGGAGCCTGATGTGGGACTCGATCCTGAAACCCCGGATTACGACTGAGCCACCCAGGTGTCCCTCCACTTCTCCATCTCTTATTGGCCATTTAGCTCCTGTGGGTTGGAGCTAAGAATCCTGTTGGAGGTAGAGTCCTTATGTTCTGCATAGTACTTATTCTCTGAAGCTGAATTCCCCTTCTGTTCTCCCAACTTAGTGGCAGATCCTAACCATGAGTTGAGTGAATAGATCTCCCAGAGTGAGCTGAGTGTTCTGAGAGCCCCTTCTTCCCCATGTTGTGGTCAGTCCATGTGATTGGTCACCTAACAATACTGACACATCCTGCAGTTAGGTTTAGAACTTGTGGCCCTTCAGGCTCAGCATTTGTATCATGTTAGCACCAACCTAAGAGCAGATCATTTCCACAAAAGTTTCCCCACCCACTTCACTCATCCAGCCACCCATATATATGTGCCAAGAAGCACACATGGTGATCTGAGTTAGTCATGTTTTTTTTCTCCTTTAACCTGTAAGTGTGGTAAGAGACCTTGACAGTTCTCACCTCAAAACATCCTTGCTTTCTAGAATAAAAACAGTCATGATATATTTTTCAACATATTGCTGGATTTGATTGTCTGATATTTGGGGGCATTTTGGCATTCAGGTTCAAGTAAGATGGTTTAAGTTTTTTCTTTCCTGTGCTACCCTTGTGTCTTGATATCAAGGTTATGCCAACCTTATAAAATGAGTTAGTATTCTCTCTCTTTATTTTCATTACAAGGGTTTGTATCAGCCTGGAATTTTGCATTTCTGTAATTCATGGTAAAACTTGTTGTAAAACCCATTATGCCTGGTATTTTTAGGGTGGGTGGGAAGATTTTTTTTTTTTTCCCCACCTGAGAGAGTATGAGCAGGGTAGGGACAGAGGGAGAGAGAGAATCCGTTTTTTTTTTTTTTTAAGATTTTATTTATTTATTCATTAGAGACACAGAAAGAGAGGCACAGACACAGGCAGAGGGAGAAGCAGGCTCCATGCAGAGAGCCCGATGTGGGACTCGATCCGGGGACTCCAGGATCACACTCTGGGCCGAAGGCAGGCACTAAACCACTGAGCACCCAGGGATCCCCGAGAGAATCCTAAGCAGGCTCCACACTCTGCTTAGAGCTGACACAGGGCTCGATCTCCTGACCCTGAGAATATGACCTGAACCAAAATCAAGAGTCAGACGCTTAACCAACTGAGCCACCCAGGTGCCCTAGGTGGAAAGATTTTTAACTCTAGATTTTTGTTGATAATAGATTGATTGCTTGGGTTTTCTGTTCTTGAGTCAGTGATACTTCCAAGGAAAAAGCATTTTCCTATTTCCTCATTTATGGTTTCAAGTTTATTGCACAGTTATTTGCAGAATTGTCTTGTTTGTAATCTTGATTGTATCTACAATATGTCCTCTTACTATATCTAATATTATTGCACTTTTTCCTTTTTTTGTCCCATCACTTTTGAAAGACATTTCTTTATTAGTCTTCAGAGCGCCAGCCCTTTGTTGTCATTTCTCTTCACTGAGCTTGTTTATGTATTATGGATTTCTGCTCTTACGTATTTCCCCTTTCCTCACCTTCCCTTGGGGTTATTCTCTGGCTCTTATTCTAACGATTGAGGTTGGATGCTTCAGCTTTACCTCCTCCCCAACCCCAGCCTGAAGAAAAGGGAAGAATTATGTGCCCTTTGGTGGGGCCACCACTTTGTCACATTTTCCAACCTCTATTTCTCTCTACATACAACACATGTGGTTTTCACATGGAGTTGTTGGGTCTCTTTAACCTCTTAATTTAGAACAGATGTCTTAATGTTTTTTCTTTTTTTTTTTTCATTAAATGAGCTTTTTTGACAACTCAGGCTGATTTCTTTTCTCTCTTTTTTTTTTTTTATAAAGATTTATTTATTTATGACGGACATAGAGAGAGACAGAGAGGCAGAGACACAGGAGGAGGGAGAGAGAAGCAGGCTCCATGCTGGGAGCCTGACGCAGGACTGGATCCCAGGTCTCCAGAATAGCGCCCTGGGCCAAAGGCAGGCGCTAAACCACTGAGCCACCCAGGGATTCCCCTCAGGCTGATTTCTTATGAAAATGTCCTACATTTGGATTTGTGTGATTGTTTTACATACTTAAATTTAGGCTAAACAATTTTAGCAAAAATAGCCTAGAAGTGATGTGTGCTTATTTGCATATCATAAAGCACATGATGGAGAATATCCAATTATTGGTGATGCTAATTTTTGTCACTTGGTTAAAGAGATGGCTTCTGGATCATTTTCCTACAAAGGTACTATTTTTCCATTGTGGAACAGTCTTATCCTTTAAGGCCAAAGTGTCCTTTGATGCAGCTCTATATGTATTTGTTCTTAGTTTTTTTTAATTGAGTCAAAGACAAAATTTCCCACCATAACCATTTTTTAGTATACAGCTGAATAGTGTCAAATACATTCACATTTCTGTGCAGTCTCCTTTTGTGACTGGCTTGTTTCACTCAGCGTAATGTCTTCAAGGTTCATCCAAATTGTAGCTCATGTTAGAGTTTCCTCCCTTTTTAAGGCTGAACCATATCCTATTTTATGTATAAACTACATTTTGCTTATCCATTCTTCCATCGATGGACTCTTGAATGCCTTCTACCTTTAAGCTATTGTGAATAATGCTGCTATGACATGGGTATATAAATATTTCTTTGAGACCTGCTTTCATTTCTTTTGAAGATACACCTGGAAGTGGAATTACTGGATAATATGGCAAATCTATTTTTAATTTTTTTAAAGAACCACCACCATGCTGTTTTCCATAGTGGTGGCACCATTTTACATTCCCACTAA